GGGCGGGCAGGGGGGAGCGCCCGCCCCCGCTTTTATACTGAAATACAAAAGACAAAAAAAGTACAGAAAGAGATGGGTTTTTAAGAAAAAGAAAAAGGAAAAAAAGAAATTTGTTTTATAACCAATATTTAAGGAGAATGGGTCATTTCCCTTTGACCGGAGGGGCCCAGGCGAGTGGCAGCCCCCGGCTTGCCCCAGCCCTATAATAAATGTGGATGCCCAAACACCAGCGCTGCCTCGTCTCTCCTTCGCGTGGGCCCGCTTTCCCAGGCGCATGTGCTCAGGCCATGCCCCCTCGGGGGCCGAGGGCAGCGTGGCTGTGCCCGGGCTGCGCTGTGCTTGGCTATGACCCTGGAGAGAGGGTAGGGCTGGTCAGGGAGTGGAGGCAGAGGCCTTTCCGTTGTGCTATGGCCCTTGGGAATGAGCTTTCTGGCGAAAGCGGGGAAGGACTTGGGCTCGCGCTGGCTTTCTGAGCTGTCTACGCAGCCCCCAAAGGGCCTGGTGTGGGGTGAACGCCTCTTCCAGGACAGGCAACGTGGTCCCCTCTGACACAGTTTCTCGGGCCCTGCTGGGTGCTCAGGCTTGCTGGCTGGCCTGCACCTCCGCTGTTGCTGGTGCGCAGGGCTCAGCACCCCAACGCTGTGGCTGGCTGGATCTCTAGCCTCCCGCTGTGTTTTGGGGCCACATGTAGCTCCCATGGTGGCCACGGAGGGGCAGTGCAAGATCTTCATCTGCAGCTGCTTCCCAGTACAGGCATATGGGGTTCAGGGGTCCTGAGCACTTTGCTGAGGCGGGAGCACGGGTGGGGTGTCACTCACTCTCCAAGGCTGGTGTCTGCAGTGGCAGTGTCTGTCTGTCCCTTCTGGGCCTGCTAGCTGGTTTTGCTGCAGCTTGCCAGAAGGAGAGAGGTTTCCCGCATCTGATCTCTGGCTGGGGGAGAAGCACCGGTGTGACTGCAAACAGGTTGGATATCAGCAACCCCAGGGCAGCAGCAGTCAGAGCACGGCAGGGCGGTGCGTGGCAGGGGAAGGAGGCGCAGGAGCAGGGAAGGGAGATCCCCAGCATTGGAGCAGGGCTGAGCTGACAGCACTGGCTGAGGACCCCGAGGTGGCACTGAGCGCCCTGGCTTTGGCACTAGGAGAGAGGCTTGGGCAGGGTGCAGTGCTGTCTGGTCGGGCTCTCCCCTCGTGCATGCTGCGGTGCGGGGAGCTTGCAGCCTCCTGGCTGGGCTCTGCAGCGGGCAGGGCCTGGATGCTCCCTGCAGCACCGCACCCCTCTGTGAGCCAGGCTGGGGTGTCCATTGGGTGCAGGGGGTGACGTGGTGGGGGCGTTCAGCCTTGCTGGTGACCCTGCATGTGTCGTGTTCAGCCCTCTGAGGCTGTTTTGGGGGTACGTGGGAGTGAGCAGCAGTTTTGTGGAGCAGGGATTAGCTCGCTGGCCGGAGCCCGCGCAAGACTTGGCTGTAGGCCCTCATGGAGAAATGCCCCTGCTCCTGTCTGCGTGCCAAATGACTTGTGCCACTTTGTAGCTCAGCCCGAGGAGGGCCCCCACAGTGCCCCATACTCGGCAGTGGGGTGAGGCCCTGGGGAGAGCTCCCACCCTGCCCGCTCCTGCCTGGCACTGGACTTTGCCCCAGGGAGGGTCCAAGGAGGTGGCAAAGGTCTGAGCGGGCTGCGGGGGGAGGCGGGCAGGGGGCTGTTAATCAGTAGCGCAGCTCTTCTCGGAGACATCGGCTCGTCCTGCCCGCGCTGGGTGAGGGAGGAGCTCTGCGGGCCCAGCTGGAGGCTGCGTGCGGGAGGAGCTCTGCGGGTCCAGCTGGAGGCTGCGTGCTGGCCCCCGGGGTCTCCTGCGTGCCACTCGTGGGGCTCCTGGGCAGGCCCCAGGGGTTGAGGAGGGGCTGGCAGGGGAGGCAGCACGGCGTGAGGGCCGCAGCACCCCTCTGCCACTCGGTGCCCAGCCGTGCAGCGCAACCGGGGCAGGGACACGGGTGAGGATGTGAGCGGTCCTTTCAGGGGCTCTGGCAAACCCCTTGCTCTTGGCACGCTTGCAGCCACCATCTCCTGCCGAGGGCAGCTGGGCACGAAGGCCATGCTAACAGGGGTGCGCGGACACAAGCAAGAGCGCTGCAGGGAGAGCTCCTGTTCAACCAGCTGTGAAAACACCTGCAAGCTGTAAGCTGGTTCAGGTCTGAAGAAGGGTTCATAAGCCCACGGGCTAGTCTGGTTTCTCTGGCTGCATTAGCTGGTCTGAAAGTTTCTTCCTCGCCTTTCTTTTAGCCGCAGCTGCAGAGGCAGGTGGGAGCTGGGACTGTAGAGGAAGCCGGAGGTGAGCGTGGGCTGGTGCATCCCGTCCTGGGGGATGTCCCCTCTAGATGGCCCCCCCAGAGATGCGCTACCTTACGGACCTGAGACGTGTCCCTGGCAGCCCTGCGAGCACGGCGTTGCCCCACGCGTGTGTGTTGCGGGCTGCGATGCGCCCGCAGCTGTGTCCTGGTGCTCCTCGGCCCCGGCTGCACGCGGCCCCCTCTCCTCGCTCCCGTGGGTGAGGAAAGGCTGGGAGTGTGAAAACGTTTGTGTTGCCAAAGGAATTAACACCCTGCTGTTGTGCCCTATAAATCTTTCAAGTGTTAGAGGCTGGTTTTAGCCGCCTGTGTTACGGTTTAATGGTTTCCGTTAGCAATAACCTGGCCCTGTGTTCTGGGGTTATTGATTTAAAGTCTGTCGGGGAGGCTGTGAGAGCTGCAGAAAGGTGTTTTCCTGTTGCCCAGCTGGTAGCAAAGGCTCCGCTGCAAAGAGGCAGCAGAAGCTGGGCAGTGGTGTACAGCGGGCTCCGTGAAGGTGGGGGTGCTGGCGGGAGCCTGCAGGCAGCTGTCTGCAGCCCCTGTGCAAGGCAGACCACCCCAAGGCAGAGAGCCCAGTTTGGGAGTTTGGACTGGGATCTCCCAAGGTAGCGCTGTGCCTTGGCTTTCCTCAGCATGCACCGACAGGTAAGTCCTGCTGGCGGCCACGGTGCTGGCCTGTGATACCTCCCTCTGCTCTCAGGTGCTCTTTGGGGAAGGCTGGGGTGCAAATCCCATAGAGCCAGGGGAGCCCGTGCGCCAGCAGCCTGCACCCAGGTTCAGGTGCCTGCTGGCATCCTGAGCGGAGCCGTCGCCCTGGATGAGCCTGGCATCAGCGGTGCCGGCGGGCACGTTCACTGCCAGAGCTGTGCCGCCGGCAAGGGCAGAGCTGGGGCTTCGCAGGGTCCCCAGCTCCTGGGGGACACCTCTTGGAAGCAAGCCCGCTTCTCCTAAGATGCAAACCCAGTGTGTGTAGGGTGGCTTACCCTCCTCCTCCACATCACAGCATCCTTCGCTGCCCACGAGTGGCTCTGCCTTGGGCTGCAGCAGCCCTTTCTGGCCTGGGACTACGCAGGGGTTGCTTTCTGCCAGGTCGCTAAGCAGAGCTGGGGTTTCTGCCCTGTTTTTCTCTTTGAGAGGCTCTCACCCTTTCCCTTCCCATTTCTGCTGCAGACTTGATCTTCCTGTGGATGCCCCTAGCCCTGCCTGCACCTGGCCCTGCTGCTCCTGCCCTTCTGCTGGAGCAGTTTCAAGTGACACTTTCAAGAGGCTTGAAACTTTTGTCTTCCTCCTCTTCCCTTCTCAGTCTCTCTTGCAACGGCATGTCCTGACCGTCCTCTGCTTGGGGACACAGGGTGATGTGCAGGGGAATTGCAGTAAGGGGGTGACCTGGTGGTGGTTGGGGTTCTCATGGATCAGGGGGGCTTCACCTGAGTTGTCACTGCACAGACACAGGGATGTTTCTCTGCACCTAAGCTGGTTTAGACCCCATGTGCAAAATGCTATCTGCTGAGGGCCAGGAGGAGGGTCTGACTGCAACAGCCTCCGTCTAGGACTGGAGGCTGCACAGCGCTCACTCCTATCACCTGGTGGAGGCGAACATTTCCCCAGCATCAGTGGAGCCTGTTATCCTTAGGAAAAGTTATTCTGGGACCTTGGGGCTGGATGCTGCTGGGTGCTGGCCACCCACATCAGTGCAAGTTGGGTGTATCTTCCCAGATCCAACTTAAGATATTCAGTGCGCTCATCCCAAAATCTGGCAGGGTGGGAGTGGACCTGGACATGAACCCGGGTGCACAGCACTGCTCAGTGTTCGCAGCCATTCCCTCCCTTGGGACCAGCAGGCCTCAAGATTCAGACTGACTCTGCTCATCCCTGAGCTTGGTGGCCCCAGCCCGGTGCGGGGGCTGCTGTTGTAGCTGTCCCTCCCCAGGCTGGGCTCCCCACGTGGCTGCAGCAGGTCTGCAACGAGGGGCTGTGGGAGTGGGGTGCTAGGAAGGGCTGTTGCACCCTGCCCCTCTTTCCTCACTGGAAGCGCAGGCTCAGAGGTGTCCCTGAGAGCTGGG